AAAAAAATTTAAAAGCACAGAATATCGTAAATGGACAAAGTTAAATAATGGCAAAACGAACATTTTGTGTATTTTAGGAGCTTCATGAACCAGTAATTGCAGTTTTACATTATTAAAATAACTATAATAGGTTTAACCGACTTGTATTTCTGGCGGCAGTTAACAACGGCATCAATGTTTAACATCAAGTTGGCTAGTTGCACAAACTCCTGGCAAGTTCAGACATCTTGTATTGCTTTTTAACTTTAACGGTACAACTGGGTGTACAGTAGCTGTTTCGTCCCATTTGTTTCTTCATTGTTTGCCTAGTTTTCCAAATTTTCTAATGAACATATTCCATCTTGATTCTTTCTCTTTTCCAAACTGTAAATCCTGTCTGTAGGCAAACACTGCTCATCTATAATGGTTTAGTGTTCGCTTCACTTCTATTGATATGGGCCTTTTGATGTAGGACCTGCAAACTCATTAACTAGTCTAAGCTGTCCTACTAAAAGAGTTGGCATCTACTTCGAGCTTGGCTCCACATTTGTACAACGGCCAAATTTACCATGCTGGAATAGAAAATGTTGTAGACATTATGAGGATTCTTGAGATAATGGGCTCAGTTGTCTGTGAGATGGTTTGAGTGTACCTATCGTCAATCAGGCAGACCTCTAATTCCCTCCTGTCAGTGCGGTTTGTGTAATACGCTATCGATTGCACTTTGATGAGGGTCAGATTACCAACAGGCTCCCCGGTGGTAATGATGGAGGCTGGACATCCCAGAGAGGATAATGTCACAGAGTGTCCAGGAGTGGTCAGTATAGGAAAAACAACAATGCAAGGGTGCAGTATTTTATTAGCCAGTATCATCCCTGCTTTCTCTTCTGAGGTTTTTAAGTTGAGTATATTATTTGAACAAAAGATAAGATTTAAAATCTTACTCCCTCAAGGCCAACAGCTGTACATTGACATGAACCTTTTATCAAACTGTTTAAGTGTAGAGTGTCATTGCTCTGTGTTGTGTCCTTCTCTTATAGTCTCCTTTTTGCCTCTGTTCCCAGCTTTTTCACTTCCTCTACCCTCCTTCTCTCTCTCTGTTTTCTGTCTCTATTGCACCACCACCACCACACACACACACACACACACACACACACACACACACACACACACACACACACACACACACACACACACACACACATTTATATGTACGACTTTAGAGGAAACCTGCCTGCTCTTTTAGCCAGGCCTATTTCCAGTGGCTTCTGCACATTCCAGTCAGTGCCTTTCTGCCCTAGCGAGGCGGATGCCCTTAATAAAATGACAACAGTAATTTGCCTTTGTCATTCCGGTCCCAGCGCAGACTACATCGCAGCTCAAAAATACAGTGCTAGAGCAGGCGACCGAATGTGTGTGTCGGCTGGCTTCTAATTCCTTTTTTTTTTTCTATTTTCCAGAGAGCTGCCTTTTCCATTAAGCCTGAGGTGGCAGGTCTATTTAAAACCAGCCACGACCCCACCCCTTATTCGCACAGCGCTCCAAGTCTGGGAGAAATAAGAAATTAACATCAGGACTGGAAAGGGGAGGAATGGACATTTTGTTATTAGACTGTCCTTCAGTTTTATTCAAATTATTTCAGCCTTCCTACCTCCATCGTTTCTCCTCTCTTTGCCACCTTCTTTGACTCTTAACAGGTGACATAACTCATTCTACATCAAGCATGAGAGTGAAAGACAGGATCTGCTATTGCATACGGTGCCTGTTTAAAAGCTTCCTGATGGAACCGTATTAGAATGAGTGGTAATTGATGTAAAATATGACAGAGTGCTATTGGCTTCCTTGGCTAGGCAAAGAGCAGTGCAACGCGTAGGGAAGGGTCTCCAGTAATGTGACTGACTAATGAAGGATTACTCACTTACACACACACAGCTGATTTTATGAAAAATGAAATTTGTGTTGTCAGTCCCTCCAGCAGGCGCAGCCGGAAAAAGACTGTTAGTTGGAAATCATTATCAATAGCTATATTTTCAAACTCCATTATGCCAATCAGGGTCGGAATCTATTTAAGAGATTTAGTTCCATTTGGGCCGTAATTGATAAATAATCAGAATTTATCAATGTACTCAAGCCTATTTTCACTAATAATCAAGAAAAAGAGGCCCATTTACCACCTGACTTGGTCTAAATTAGGGATTGAATTGATGATCAATTAATGTCTAAAAAAGAACTAGTAGCTTCTGGGAGTGTGTGTGTGTGTGTGTGTGTGTGTGTGTGTGTGTTGTGTGTGTGTGTGTGTGTGTGTGTGTGTGTGTGTGGTGTGTGTGTTTGTGTGTGTGTGTGTGTGTGTGTGTGTGTGTGTCGAAGACAATAAAGGTGGATAAAGGAGCCAGATAATCATGTTGATAGGATGTGAGCTGGATGGCAGTATGCAGGTTACGCTGATTTCTGTGTGTTTTTCTGTGACATGCTAACACAAAAGACATGAGTGACATGATATAATGTCCTACTTTGCACATTTCAAAAGTGTATTGATAAAAGTAATATGTATGATGTAATATGATCTTTAGATGAATTCAGGGCAGAGACCTACTATTAATATTTTTTAAATAAAGAATGAAATCTAAATGTGTTTTCAGAGGCTTTCCTCTCTGCAGTAAAAATCAAAACACAAAAAGATCTGTAATTGTCCAAATTCGTCTGCCACAGGCTCGATTTTCCAAAGCCTTTGTTAGAAGATTGGAAATCCACTGGGATTACTCAATTTTAGAATTTTTAAAATTCTTTAGTTAGCTTTCCGTTTCTATTACCCATTTTCCCTATGTATGTAAAGGAGAGAGTTAAATCATTTTAAAAAGAACCAGCCAAATGTAATGAAGTAATGCAGTTTCATGCGTTCATATATCATCACTAGGTAGATTAGGCGAAATCATTTATTGCTATTAGATATGCAAAGGAAGTTGACTGACTTGTTGCTCTCATGTAAGCTGTATTGCTTTTTCTTCACATTGAAAATAAACCCTCCCGGCATTGAACAGCTTTTCCATTTATTCCATGCAGAATGCTGGAAGTTTCCAGACAGCTACATTTATGTGCGTATATAGATTAGAGATGAACAAAATATTTGATGATTACAAAAAAAATTCTGTGTTTGTTGGTCAGCCTTCTCAAAAATGACGATTTGCGATTTTTGCTCTTTGACTGAGAAGTGTGTATATATATTAATTTCTTTATTTTCAGTGCACAAGACAAATGTGAACTTGGGCTTTTGAATCCCTTCTTTGGCCATTATGGCAGAAAATTTAATTGAATCATTTAGTATTATTATTTTTTAAATCTAAATTCAGTTTAGTTTAACATTTGTATCAGTGTTATCCTGTATGTAAGTTTATGATGTTGCATTCTGTGTACTTGTCGTTAAATAAGAATCAGATCTCACTCACTAGTGACGCATTCATATATTGTAATATATGAAGTTAAATAATATAATTAGTGAATACTGTTGACTGCAAGATGCATAAGTTCAAGGTTTAAGTGCTGCAAAAACAATAAGAGGATACAAAATGAAATGCATGTTATACAATTGATATATTCTTCCATTTTAGAGCAGGCCAGACCGTGGACATCAACTGCCCCCTAAAGTTTTTTTTCTATAAAAGTTAACAAAAAACAATCAAATATATTACATTAAAATATATTGCTGGCAGCTCACTAACACTGGTGTACAGGCTAAAAAGCCCGATGTTTCTCTGATGGTTGTAAAGAAACCAAAAACAAAACAAATCTGACTGCAGATGAATGACAGTGTTGTGCTGTTTAATCTCAATTTTAAAGAGTTTAATAAACTCCGTTTTAACAAGTGAATAAAAATAATAAAACCTCATATACTCATATAAACACCATAGTTCTCATCCACATTATTTTCAGGCTTAGATCTGCTACTGCCAGTTATTAAAGAAAAAAACTGTTATCCGGTTTAAATTTAGTGTAAAGTGTTGCTCCTTTCCAGAAATAAAATGTCTTTCATGTAAATGCATCCTATTTTAGCCACTGTTAGAGCGCTGTGTAAATGATAAGTTGAATTTCAAAGCATTATTTAAGGCTGATCTCCACTTCAGAGCAGTGAGGAGAAGTGATGTGTTTGCTGCGTGTTATTGAGGTGTGTTTCTTGCCATCCTGTGGGAGATGATCTCACTGTGTCCTCCTCAGTCACAAGAGTGCTGGGGAGAATGAGGATAGATGGCCCTGTCTGTAAAAAGTGACCATCACAGTCTGCTTTTCTTGGTTCAGCCTATATTATCCGTCTGAGAGGCTGTGCGTTTACGTTTTATGTTTGATGGAACAACACTGTATGGCTGCCTTTAACCGTGTCTTTTCCGTCTTCTTGTTTCTGTGCAGGCTGGCCAAGGAGGAGATTGCGTACATAACTGAAGCGAAGCAGCAGGAAGAGAAGATCGAGCGCCTGAAAACAGAGGCGGCAGATGATTATGTCATCAAGAAACAGGTACATTTTGCTTCTTTGATGCTGTACAGCAATTATGTGTCTTAATTTGAAAGCCTTTGAATTATCCATTTATCACCACCTGTTCCTTCTGTTGATCTCAGCCAGTAAAGTGAGGGAGGGTTGTTGCTCTCGCATAGTTAGGGAGTGAATTGTGTCTTGATAATTCAAGTAGCCCTTCGTTCATGTAATGAGGTCAGTCCACAGTGATAATGAAGAATTAGGTTTTGAGAGGAGAATCATTAGTGATTTTGTAATTTGCTTGATTCAGATGTAATTATATCATGTTACTTTAAAAGAGTTTGATAATTACTGACACATGCTGGTAATTTAGTGTCCCTAACAGATCACTGGCCCATATCCTGCTCTCCATTCTCACTGTGCCTGCATCCCTCCATCATTTGTCTGTACACAGGTTGTGGAATTTTCTCACTCCAACATGTTTCTTATGTCTTTTAAAATATTCAATTCAAATAATATAATAATATTAACGTTAGCTAGCAAAATGGACAGTCGTGTGGGCAGTTTTTGAGTTTTTTTCTGCTGTACTTATGTATGACACAGACATGTATGGATATTAGGGCTGTTCGATATAACGATATATATCTGATGACGATATAAAAACGTCTATTGTTTCATTTTACGCTATCGTTTGTTTCGTGGTGTCTCAAAATAAACTGTTTACGGCAATATTTTTTCATCGTTTTGATGGTCACTGTAGTTTCTTAAAATTCTCTCTTTCTCTTATATTTAATATAACCACACTACAGACGGACAAGCGCCTGTTTTTATGCGTTGTCGTTAGCAACAACAACGGTAACACCATCGTGTGTCTGCTTGTTTATGTTCCACATAAACCTTTCACAATAAAGCTCAAGATCCTGTTGAGACTTTTCAAAAATAAACTGAATCACGTGAAAGAGCAGATTATTTATGGATGAGAAGTAAAAAAGAGAAGCCTTAGACTCAAACGTTAGAACAGGCTTTTCCTCGCAGCACGCCGTGTAATAAATACTCACAAAGAAAACGGCGGCCTTTACTTATGTCTAAAAATGTATAGTTTCATGCATCGGTTTAAACACTCGACTCCAGCTACATGACGCCCAGCTGGAAACACTTCATGCAAGACGAGCTGCCCGAGAGTCACAGAATTTACAGAAAATGTTAAATTTTTGTGATTTATATCGTTATCGGGATGATAGAATTCTTATATCGGGATATGAGATTTTGGTCATATCGCACAGCCCTAATGGATATTGTATCTTGTAATTCTAAACATTTTCATTATACCACTGTATATAATCAGATGGCAAACACTTGATGGTTTATAAACACCAAACATCAGAATGATATATACATAAATATATTAATGTGTCATCTTTGCAAGCTACATAGTCAAGGAACATAGAAACCAGTTTAGTTTTAAAGGTTTTGTCCTTGTGAAGCACTGCATCACTTTTAGCATTTTTGATATGGAAGCTGGAAGTCTGGTTCTCTTCCATGTGCACATTTACCCTTTCACCAGAGCAAGGTCCAAGGTCTGCTTCTTTGTTAGACTGGACCAATCCTCTGCTGATGAAAACAGTCTCTAGATATGGTGTCCAGAGCTTATAATGTCAAAGCCAGAAGAAAAATTTTCTTTTAAATTTGGCACATAAGCTCAACTTTGTCACATAGCACTGTGCCGTGAACCCAGTTGTTGTCCACCACCAGCTCTAATTGCCAAATTTGGCTTTTTACCATTTGCTTCTTCACAAAATAATATTGAAGTTAAAGTTAATGACACTACATCACTGTTTTAATCTAGTCGAGGAAATCTGGTGTGTCTTGCGGATGTGGAAGTGATCAGGGTGATCAGGTTTGCTGTTTTTTTTAAATAAATAAGCAGATGGAACTTTATGATTCCATGTGGTGTTGCAAGCACAGAGACATTTCAATTATGCCTCAAAATATATAAACAAATCATTACCCGCCGTGTACAGAAAATAAAAGGAAATGGCAAAATAATTTAAAATCGGAGCGTTGCGTTATGGGATCTTTATAGCCCTTATTTTGTAGGCTAGCGAGGGGGTTTATCAGCTTTAAATGTTAAAGGAATTTCTGAATTTGCCTTTAATGTGTGTTTAATACCTGGGGGAAACTAAATTCACAGCTTCTCTTGATGTCTTTGCTTCATTCCAGTATCACAACGATAAAGAAATAGTGTGAAAAAAGGTAAATAATACAAATATTTCAAGATCCTGTCAAGAGAGCCTGCTGCTCATATATAGACAAATATGAGTTTTGCCTATTACGGTATTTTATGGTCAGCTTACACAAGATTGTTGGAAGGACGTGGTTTTTCATATAACTGCCCTTTATTTGGGCCAGTGTTCGCTGATGCAGATCCAAACTTGATTCAGACGGGGAGGAACTGAACCACAGATATCACATCTGATTATGTTTACGGCTTCCATTAAAATTCAGTGTGTGTGTTGTTTTGTTTGTTCATTCATAGAGTGGCAGCTCAGGCTGAGCAGCAGGCTTGGTTGGTGTTAAATGGGGAGATTGGGAGGCCAGATGGATTATGGTTGGAGATGAGAGGTCTGAGGCAGGATGGATTACAGGTTTTTATTTTAATGGAATCAATACGCTGTAAGTGTCATCTTTATCCTGTGCTGATGGGATCATTCCACCAAACCGGGAGGGCACCGTGACTTTTCTCTGTTTCAGTACTCTTTTGCCTACTCTAACTTACCTTGTCACATCTAGATGGCAGCCAACTTGACAATTTGTCCACTATTTTTCGGTATGTCAGTTTAGGCACTTGGATGAACTTGTACGCCATCAGGCAGGCAGACTGTTAGTGTGCATAGCCGTGTAATGTACACATGTGCAACTGAGTCCATGTTTTGACTTTTTCCAGCTCGACACAGGCCTAGCTGAGGAAGCATCTGTCATGAGTGACTGTGTCTGACAGTGTTAGCCAGCTCTTCTCCGCTCTTTAGGGTGCCAGCTGGGGGAATTCCACATTAGCCGCGGCTGTGAAAGTACCCCAGGCTGCAACACAGTTACACTGCAGGCGTAGTAATACCTCTTTACGCCTGATCACAATGCTCTCGGCTCATTCATCCAGGTGTGGAGCCAGATCGAGGTGGTCCCCCGCTGCCCAACTCCCGGCCCGATCAATAACTCAATAACATTTTTCATACTGCCGGCTTGTTGAGAGATGTTAACCACAGCAGAGTGCATGAGGGACACCCTGCATGTCACTGCCAGGAGTAAAGCTACAGCACAATCCAGCCAGTGAATACACTTTGTCTAGCTGTTCGAATTAACGGTCAAAGCTTGGAAAATACATGTTCAGTAATGTGTTGACTTTTGTGAAGACCTGTAATAAAAGCTGGTAATAGGAGCAGTGGCAGGGGATTTCGGATTAATAAAGGTGGTGATGGCACTGATGCGGTCTCTGTGTGCTTTCAGATGGAGGTGTTGCAGGAGTCCAGAATGATGATCCCAGACTGTCACCGCCGGCTGGCCATAGCACACGCAGATCTGCTACAGCTGCTAGTAAGTACCACCATGAAGTGAACTAAATTTTCATAAAACAACAGGACACAAGCTATTGTGATAATTAATTCAGTTGGACTTCTAATATCTCATGGCCTCCCTGAAAAAGAATTTCATGCCATGCGTTTGTGGGTAGAAGAAAAAATGTTCAGCTTATTATACTTTAAAATTCCAGCATCAAGAAAAATGGTTAACCCCAGCATTCAAGTTTTATTTTTAATCTTTTTTTCTCTTTTGTAGGTATCACAATATCTAATAACTAATTATGTGTTTCTTAGTAAAGCTTCATTAAAAATGCAGATTTGTAATTATAATTGTATGAAAGACACACAACTCTCATACTCTTGCTTTCTAAACATAGTATGGTATTAGTACTAGCGAATACCTATCCTTTTTCACATCTGGTAGACATGATCAACACCTGGATCATGCTTCATCCTTCCTGTCAGGCTTCATTTCACTAAAATAGTTAATAATTAAAATATTAATAATCAAAATAATTAATAATAAAGAATGAAAAGGCCTAAGATCCCCATTTTAATGTGTTTGGATTTCAGTTTAATGCCAGATCTTTAAAAAGTTGTCTTTCCCAATGAGACCAGCATGTAACAGAAAAAAAAAAAACGATAATGGAAAAGACAACATCAGGTTATGGTTACTGGTGTGATAACAAGCTACATAGTTCCCTTAATGCTGTACCATAAATAAGCAAGGATGTAGTAGTAGTAGTAGTAGTAATAATGTTCCTGTTAAATTTACTGCCATGTCACAACAGGCAGGAATGCTTAGAGACCAGTTAACCACAGTTTGCTAGGAAAAAAAAAAGTTTTCCTTTACTGGTTGTGAGTGTTTACTGAAGGTTGCTCGCAGTCGCTCTGAAATTGGTTGCTAAGCCCCAGTCACACAGGGCCAGAGACTTTATTTTGAAGGTGAATGGTCATTTTTTAGTATGCATTATTCCTTTTTCAAGTTTTTACTACAGTTTAGTAGTTAGTTAGCAAGTATTTGCAGACACATCTGCATATTCCATTCAAATTACGCAGGACAGCAACAGACTGCTAGTGACAGAAGCAATCATAAGGAGTTTTTTAGTGCAGCACCTTGTGGCAACTGATTTCACCTACCGGCATCCAGCAACCAGTGAATCGGAGAATGCAAATTTGAATGCACACTTGTGACCAGGGGTTGCCAATTGGTCTCTAGCACTGTGTGGGTGAGGCTTAGCAGACACTAAAAGCCCTTTTCCACTAGTACCTACTCAGCTTGCCTTGACTTTACGCTGTTTCGGTCGTTTTCCATTACAATCATTACCAGCTAATGTGTGTAGGGTCCTTATAGCAATGCTGCCAAAAGTCCTGTGATGTCATTTGTATGCGACACAAACACCATAACAAAAGTGGACATCGAGGCGATTGTACACCTGCTGCTCAGTGTATGGCTTTTTGTCACACTTGGGGACCAGGATGTTGTTTTTTGTGCAGCCTTTTCCCTTGTTGCTGGGTTTCAAAAATGGTGGTTTTGATTTTTATGAAGACTCTCATGACTCAATAAGTGACGCCACTGACTAGCCAATTGGGGGAATGCTGTCTGTTGATGTCACGTTTTCGGATAGTCTCAGATCACTTGGAGCCCTGGCTAAGTGGGTACAAAAAAAAGTAACTGGTGTCAGGTACTCCCACCTAATGGTAGACCTTAAAATCCAAGTCGAGCCATGCCAAGCTGACTCAAGTACATACTAGTGGGAAAGGTCTACAATTGGCTACAGTTTCATGCCAGGACACTTGTGGCCACATAATTTAAAGTATATTGTGGTATCCTGGATATTCCAGTGTTGAGTCAGATGTTTTTCTTTAAATGTGTGTAGACTTAATGAACTGATCATTAGAATAAGCTCAAGCACCACACTTTGCACTTATATACAGATATATATACAGTATATATACAGCCACAGAGCATGCCAAACCCTCCAGGACTTAAGCTGATATGGTGAGAGGCAAACATCAGCATGGATGTCTCAGGGTCATCGAAATTAATGCAGAGCAACAGTCAGAGAGCTGGAGGTGTGAGTCACTCACATGGGAGCTGAATGCTGGGCAGGGGGAGCTAACCTGAAATTAGCAACCTGTCCCCTTCCCTGTTACTCATCCTCCCTTCTTTCTTCCCTTCAGACAGGCATACGCATATGCACATGCTCATCACAGGTCATTAGGAAGTGCTGTCACTGTGGTGACTACCAGAGGAATGCAAACACACTTCAGTGTCAGGTTTTACCTCATATCAACCCTTCCTGGATGAATTTGGTTCCTACCATTATGATACAGTTTGAAATATTTCCTCAAGAATGCTTTTATATGAAGACAACAAACCTGTTTGTCTAGTGAAGACAGTTGTAACTCCTTCTTTGGAAGTATAGTAGATGGCACTAAAACAAAACCTATATGTGTGTTTGTGTGTTTTCAGGAAACAGAAGAGGAATTGGCTGAATCAGAGGAGTACAAAGAGGCTAGAAGCATATTGGACTCAGTGAAGCTTGAAGGATGATTTCTGATGCATTTCTGTTCTCACTGTGAGATTCACTTGCTTAAATGTCCATTCCTTTCGTCAGGCCTTGTTTGGAACCGTGGAGGCCAACTGAATCCATTCAAAGTCTCTTTTCTTGATGTAATTCTTTTCTTTACTGCTAACGTGCCACCACATTTTGATCACGTTTCTCCTGTGTGAAAAAAATAAAATAATTCCACAATAATAATATAAAACCTTCAGTTTATTATAGTAGATTAGTGTAGTGTTTTCTTTAAGTGTTGTTTGACCCTTTTATGCACTGTTTACACATTGAAACTGGGAGAAACACATGAAAGTTTAATGTTGATCTCATAGATTAATGAGATTAATGGCATTAACAGTGCTGTTATTCCTGTTAGCAGCAGTGAAATGGACTGTGTCTTGATACCTACAATAAAGGCAAGAGCTCTTTTGGTAACCCTGTCAGTCATATGACAAATGTTAGTGTGAGCCATGAATGACAAAACAGGCCTGTAATGTCGCCTCTGCAGTTACATCTATTACCCAGATGGCCTAAAATAATGACACCTTACATTAAGGCTGAGGGAGTCCTTCCTAAATAGTCATACTAATAAATGAACTCAATTGCCAGACAAATTAAGGTTACATTTGACTTGATCCTTATTTTACAGATTTCGATAATTATCGGGATCACCCCAAAGTCTCATTACCGCCCTAATGAGGCGCTGCTACTCCGTGACATCTACCCCGCTCCATCTCGTTAAGGAAATCGCTCTTCAATGCTGATTATTTTATTTGGAGGTATAATTATATTTCTTTCGGATAAATCACGGGCCTAATCGAGTCCGTGCAGAGGGCAGCGGCGCTAATTGAGGCATGAGATGCGGCGGCGGGGCGCTGCACCTGCGGGTTTGTGTGACCGGAGGACCCACGCAGGCTGCTGCTGACAGCTCGGAACGTGTCGTGGCCGGATGAGAAAGTAACGTGGAGAAAACACTGACCCGAAATCCTGTGTTCAAGTGGACGGAAATACTCGCGTAGACTGCTTATAAAAATAAAAGCACTAATCAGACGTATTAAAGCTAATAGTGGCATGGCAGACGGTGGGCTGATGTAGCTTTTTCCTGGTTAATCCGTTGCAATGCATTTTAATTTGCGTGCTTTGTAAACATGTTGCTCTGTAGTAATACATTTTTCAGACTGAGTACAAAGTGGACTACACATTTGCTTCTGAGATGCACGGGAACCCTGCGTCGCTGCTTTTTACAGCTGTCACCTAGAAGTTTCATTTCGCGCCTTCCAGAGTCACGTGACTTATCAGGAAATCCAATTAAGTCTTCAGAAATGACTCCTTAATGAGCTAATTGTTATAACTTCGGAGCATGCTCGATAGCCATTTCCAACCTGAAAAAGGTTCCTTTTTATTCACCTGTTCTTTATTTGAAGTATCTACACTTAATTGTGGCATATTTTTTATTTTCCCCTATACTGTAGACAGTAGCCTTTATTTGCAAACTGTGGATTACTGTTAATAAAGTGGGTAGAGCCATACATATTCAAATTTCTATGCATACAGTGATTTTACATTTAAGGAAATGTTTTAAAGTAGGATATTATGTAACAGGCTACATGGTTTTACGCACAGCCCCCATCAGTCATTTCGGTCGACACGTTGTTTTCGTCATATTCTGCTCCTGAAACTTTGTCTGTGTCAAACTTCTTCTTTTTTTTCCTTTTTTTCATTTCTTTTCTCTCTTTTTTTTTGCCTGACGCAGAGCGGAGAGCTGTAGGTTGCAGCCGAGTTGCAGCATCAGCTGCAGCCGTTTCTCAGCTCCCTCGCCTCTGTATAACTTATTACTCCAAATACCCCAGACAGCCACCAAATCAGCTGCGTGAAACAAGAATCTCATTTGTTAAACCGGGAGCTCGTGCAGATGGAAGATCAATTGTTTTGCTCCTCAGAAATCTCGAACTGAGTGAATCCAGACTGCAAAGGCAAAGCAGGGAGAGCGAAAGAGAGAGAGAGAGAAGTTGCAAACAGTGGCCTGGGCCATGGTTTGGAGAGCCTGCACTGTGAACCAGAAGGTCACGGGTTCAAGTCTGGCCTGTTATCAAAAGTGCGTCCACCAGCAGCAATAACACATGGGTTTGACTACACCACATCGAGCAGTGTTACATTTTTATTTTCAGATATTTTTTTTTACTCTCAGTTTTATTAAAAGTCAGTTCTCATCTCCACAATGCGTGAAAATGTCTACTTTCCACTCAGATGCGCCGCATTAACTTTCGCGGGGGCGGGGGGATTTGTTTGTTTGTCTATTTTTATTTATATGACGGAAAAGATTGATTCGAGCATGTTAGGAGAATTTACAGGAGGATAAACGCAGTAATAGCTGTGCCTAGGTCATTTGCTTACCCTAATTAGCCAACAGCAGCAACACACACACATAAAATCTATTCACGCTGTAAGGTGAAAGGTTGCATTTAATGAAATACACTGTTATATAAAAGTAGACACTAACAGTAATAATATTAAGAAGGAATTAAAGATGTATGTCTGAGTCTCCATTGCACTGAAAACATGAAATATTTTTGATTTCATATTCTCGGTAATGGCTAAATCATTATATACAATCTAAAACAATTAAACCAGTTAAATAAACATGGGGGCCAATATTCCCAGCACTGATATTTAATAATAAATACATTAAAATAAACTTTGCATCCATAAAATAACTATCTCCTCTCCTTTATCTTTGTGCATAAAATTTTTAGGATTGGTTTTTTTTCCCCTTTTCGTTTTGTATCTCAGGCCCACATTCAGCACAAATATCTCACGCTGCTTGACATGTCATCATCACCTCTCACGTTGTGTCGACCTGCCGCAACGAGAGGAGTCATTCGCTCGTGTTTGTACAGCTATAAAAGCGTGCAGCTCTGGACAAGTCGTAAAACGAAGCGCACGATCCATCATCGGGGAATGTGAGGATTTGAAATGATCCTCACAGCTTTGGGGGCGTCAGGAAAACTTCCTCAAACACGATGCCAGAAGAAGAATATATTTCACTTCTGCATTCGAGTATTAATGCGATCAGTAATGACATAGACCCTTTTTGGTTTGTAAAATTTGGATTTAAAACGGTTAGCTCCGGCTTAAAAAAAATCTTCACAGCTACCTCAAGTCCGGCTTTCAAATGGAGCCTTGGAGAGAAAAAAAATAGAGACGAGAAATATCTCCAAGTCCCCCCCCCCCCCCCCTTTTGTTAAAAAATCTCCTCCACATCCCAAACAGACCCCCGAGCACGACTCCTCTCCGTCCGTCCATCCACCCATCCCTCCCAGTGTGTCACTTGTGCCACCAGATTGCATGCAAATAAAAGCTGCGCGGAGGCAACTGAAGCCCGGACGGACGAAGAAAAGAGACCCAATCGAGCCCCGGGTTCACGCTCGGACGCCTCCTTTGTGTCTCTATTTTTCCCCCCAGCACACAATAAATAAACCGGTTCTCTCAAAACGTTCCGACATCTGTCTTAAGTTTTTTTTCTTTTTAAATATATAATGTAGCAGACTGTTGTGTGCATGTGTGTGTAGGCTAGCAAAATAAAAATAAAAAAGCAGGCGTGCTAATTGAGTCTAATGGTGGTTTACTGACAAAGAGAGTTTTCAGTTAATTTTTAAAAGCTTTTTCTTGTTTCTTCAACATAATTTAGACAGATGATTTTTAAAAAAACAACTGATGCCTCCCCCCATCCCCACCTGAAACTGTTGGAAACATGATTACGTGGTTGCCCGTGTTGTCAGACTATCTGTTCAGGTGTCAGACTTTCGGGTATATTAGGCTGACTGTGTCCCTTTATCAAAGGCGAGCATCCTCACTTTACTGTTCGCTGAATTAATTTGCTCACACATCATTTACACCGAGTCCCTCCCTGCCTGACAGTTGGAACTATACAGGAGATCACATCCACTTTATACTGCTTTTATTTCAAAGTGCTCAGATATGACGAATCTTATATAAACCTGCTGGCCTTGAACATTAGCCTGGTCACAAATAAAGTTAGTTGATTCCAGTAACGGGAAATAAAAAAAAGAAAAAAAAAGTCTGACCTCCAAGAGGTATTTAATGTCGTAAATAGGTGGATGATATCGTCAAGCTGACTAAAAAGAAAAAAAAATGAACAAGAAGAAGCAGTATTAAAAGATGCAGACTCGTAGCTGTCATGTGGTATCTCTTTATGTGGTTCTTCCTAATACGAGTAATAATAATTCGTGTCCGAGTGGCTTGCTGTAAAAGCACACGCAGAGCAGCGTGCGCAATTAAACAAATATTGTGGTGATCCAACATTTCTTGAGCGGGTCGAAGCTTTCGCTCAGATATTAAATCAGGTTATTTTATTGGATGTAATTTGGGGGGAGAAATCAAAGCCAATTACAGGAATGAGGAGGAATGAACTTGTGGATGGAGAGGATGGAGAAGGAGGAGGAGGAGCAGGTGGAGTGGGTGCTCGGGTCTCGGGCTAAAGCTGACATACCTCAGGCTTCAACTCTGATTGGTCCTCGTTTGGAGAAGCTCATGGGTTCATTCCGTTGTTAAGCGCCTCCCCATTTCGCTAAACTACATTATAATGCAACGAACCTCCCTTTTAACCACAAACCGAATTTGCTTTCATTTAGGCTATATATTTTTCTTAAATAGGTTAAAGTCATAGAGATTTTTTTCTTTTTTTCGTTTCCTTTTTTTTTTTTTTGGGAATAGCATTTCGCCCTGGAGCGGTGCGCAATGCTATCTCATGCCGACCTCCTGGATGCTCGCCTCGGTGAGTTAACATCACCAAACTCCGGTCTTCAACTCTACTGTAAGCTGGAGGAACTTCTAATCTTAAATCAAGCTCAGAAATTGTCAATTTGCTTCTTATGTGATCTTAATGGGGCTGAAGTGAGCTAAACTCGCTTAATTCATTGGAAAAGTAATTATTATTATTATATTACTGCGTAATTTGATTTAACAATTTTCCAAGATACCAGTGTGATCAAATTGAATGAAGAGTATTTAAGGAGCAGATTGCAATGTGCATGCTGTCTCTTGAAAATAGCTGCAGTGGCTGTTTCTGTTCTTTCTTTTCTTTTCTTTTTTTAAATGTCTGTATTTGTGTTGAGGCGTTTAAAGCATGCACAACAACTGCTTCATCCTCTACTGCAGCCTAAACAATGCTTCAGCGGCTC